AGAAGCGCGTTCCCCAGTGTGTGATGGGGAGATTGTTCGATCCTACAACGCTATCGCGAAGCCTGTGTCGGCTAAAAATATCATCGTGGAGATGTGTCCCCTTCCTATTGAAGACTACGGCATGTTCTGGCGGACAGACCTGCTCGACCGTTCTGTGATAATGCATACGACGAGATCGTGGTAAGGCTCATGGCACTTGGAGCAGCTCGCTGCAGGAAGGATGTCTTGAAACTCACAATTTGGAAGAGTGGCAAGGTCAGCTTGAATCATTTCTGCTCCGTGAGAAAGTACACGACCGCTTTCAAAGTTTTATTCTTTATAGAAAGCATGCTGGTAAGATGTAGATTGGAGAGCGCCTTCGAGAACAACCGCTGCTCCCCCCAAGACATTATGGCCCAGAATTGCGCAAACATGGGAGTAGAGATGACAACGCGAGCACTGCTGACAGCTCGGTATTCACAGCCACTCCTGGTGATTTGTGTTGTCTTTTGGCACACCTCCGCGCGATACGGATGACATGTCTGCGGTCGATACCCGAGTGGTGAAAACTGCGGCTAAGCGTAAAGGATGTAAGGACGTTGGCACCGAGTCAAAGAGCAAGAGGCTGGACCGTCGTAACGACAAGTGGCTGCCATCCGACCCAACACCAAAAATGAAGAGATGTTAGAGATTCTGCTTATATTGGCATGTCGTTTGTTGGGTGCGTCTATTCCGTTCGTGTTTTTTTAAGTTATAATAGCATCAGAGTACGTATTAATTGTGGTTTAATATTACTGTATAATGGAACATGATGTTACATTAGCTATTGGCATGGCAGGAACGTAATGTAAGCCTGACCAGGAACTCTTGAACCGTTGACTGAGGGGTCGTAAATAAATTGTTGTTGTCGCTGTTGTTGTTGATTTTCAGATTAGGCGAATGCAATCGACGTGGAGCTGCTGAAACGGCAGATCTCATCTTCAGAGACAAGAGACTACAGTACACTGCGGGAGTGCTCAGAAAAATATAACAGATTGAAAAACAATGAACGCATCGTTATATAACATATATAAGACAGAATTGAAGCTGAATTTACGGCAATGTCTGGCTCTGCACCAGATTATAATATAATGTAGTCCACATTGTATATGTAAGAAATTTGAAAACAGGCGTCGTTTGCACTGACCGGATTCTCGCCTAGTTACCACTATTGTAGTCACGGTTGTCACGCGAAAGAGCGTTATTCACGTTTTCTGTTTTGCTCTTCCATGTTTACTTGAGTTTGACGGCATGAAACGGTTTAGCGTGCCAACCACTTAACGAATGGCTCATTTTCCGATTTGCGCAAGTCCTAACGACTCCTACGATAGTCCGATCCAATGTTTTCTCTATTGTACCGTGTCAATAGCATTTTTACTATTATCGTAAATGGCAATCCCCAGGTCTCGCAGAAGGCTTCGATTGAAATGTACGTTGTGAAGCTTCCAGAACAAGAGTGGCACTGGTCTTGAACTTGGCCAATCGAGATATCGTGCTGAGACACGCGTCTCAAGAATATATCGCGGTAATGCATAAGGGGTTTAGAGGGTGGCTACGTGATAAACTCGTTTGAAAATAGCATTTTGAAATAATCAAAACTCGTACCTCTACTACCAATACTTTTGGCGAACATATCCTAGATGAGGTACGAGGTTTCGTGAACGCGCTGCGCATCGCGTGCCTGTGTTTTCGCGTTGTGCACATTTAATCGTGAGCCCGTTCTATGCTGCCGCATCTCGCATCGCTGGCAATGCCGCCAGGTAGGAATTGACTCTTGTTATCATCCCGGGTATATTTCGAACAAATATGCCGGACATGGGATAAATACAATAAATCTGCTCTTACTAGTCAC